TTAATATTATTATTATTATTATTATAACTATTATGGTTAATATTGTTTTATTTTATTATTATTTTATTTATAATTGTATTAATAATAATAATAATAATTTTGCACTGACTGTTCACTATCAGGCTTCCTTTCACACACAGTATACACTCATAACCGTGGCCTGCAGTGGTCACTAGATGGTGCTGTATTACCACCAGCTGGTGGCTCCTAATTCCACAATTCTCATTGGAAATGCTACGGCTGATGCTACTACAGACATAAGGGAGTATGGAGCAGATATTTACCTATTCTGCAAATTAGATTTGTGATTAAACATGGCATTGGCTTCTTAATTACTTGTTTATTAAATCATAATTCATTGTAATAAGATAGTATTGCTTCTAATTCTTGAGCGTCTGTCATTGTGTACATTACAATTAATGGGCATGCACATCTATAGCGCATTCAAAGGGTTATTCATAGCCGTAGCACTGTGAAAAGAAACATGTTTTTAAAGGCTTAAAGGTATTTCCGCCTTCACTTCTAATCTAATTCACTGTAACCCAATTCTTTTTTTTTCTTGGCTGCTAGTTTGGCATCTACTTTGAAGGCGAACTCCAGGCGGGGTGGACTGGGTTGGGTGATGGTAGAACAAGCATCTGACGCTCCGACCAGTACTAATAAGATATGTTGGGCTGGTGGCTCCGAGTAGAGATACCTAACCATTCAGGCATTGAGTGGGAACCACAGTTGGTGACACTTGCTGGGGTGAGCATTGGGCTGCTGCCAAATCAGATCTTCAAAACTACCTGCTTCCCATTCAGATCTACTTGCTTCCCATTCAGATCTACCTGCTTCCCATTCAGATCTGCCTGCTTCCCATTCAGATCTGCCTGCTTCCCATTCAGATCTGCCTGCTTCCCATTCAGATCTACCTGCTTCCCATTCAGATCTACCTGCTTCCCATTCAGATCTACCTGCTTCCCATTCAGATCTACCTGCTTCCCATTCAGATCTACCTGCTTCCCATTCAGATCTACCTGCTTCCCATTCAAATCTACCTGCTTCCCATTCAGATCTACTTGCTTCCCATTCAGATCTAACTGCTCCCCATTCAGATCTACCTGCTTCCCATTTAGATCTACCTGCTTCCCATTTAGATCTACCTGCTTCCCATTTAGATCTACCTGCTTACCATTCAGATCTACCTGCTTCCCATTCAGATCTACCTGCTTCTAGTAGCGTAACAACCGGGGGGCGGGCGTTCGCCCCGGGCGCATAGATGGCGGGGGGCACCTGCCGCGAGCCGGAGGGACAATGATGGCATACTTGGACTTGAAGTTCCTTAGCTGATATATATGTGTGGGGGAGGGGGGTACAGTTCCAGTGGATGTTTATATAATATTGGGGGGGTGAAAAAAAAATTCTGCCCCGGGCGCCCATAACGCTGGTTACGCCACTGCCTGCTTCTCATTCAGATCTTCAGATCTACTTTCCCCCATTCAGATCTACCCGCTCCCCTATACAGATCTTCAGACCTACCTGTTGCCCATTCAGATCTTCCAATACAGCATCTGGGTCGCTCAGACCAGTACTAACGACGTTGATCATAGTGAAACCTACAGTCAGTGACACATGCTGTTGGTCTAATTTCAGATGATTCAGATCTTCAGATTTACCCGCTCCCCATTCAGATCTTCACATCTAAGTGCTCCCTATTCAGATCTTACAACTTATTACAAAAGAAGTTTTCCAACATCAACTTTTAAACTTTCAACCTTTAGGGTTCTGAGATGTCATTTGACCAAATGTCAGGCAGCTGATTTGAAATATGGACAATAAACCATTTCCTTTGGGAACACCCGCCTTTCATCATTCCTACTAATCAATGAGGCACTATTGGCTCCCTTGGAAGAGTACTGATGACATATGTTGGGGTGGTGGCTCTTAGTGGAGATACTTAATCATTCAGACATTGATCAGAGAAGGACCAGATCTTCATAGCTACCTGCTCCCTATTCAGAATTCCAATATACCTGCTCCCCATTCAGATCTTCCATTACAAAATCTGGCAAAGGGAAGTTTCCCAACACTAACCTCCTTCCTGAGATGCCTAGAGATCAGATGCCAGCAGCTGATGTTGGAAGATGGCCACAATAAACCATGTCCTTTGGGGACAACAACCTTTCACCATGCCTACTAAACAACGAGACACCACAATTTGCATGGTACACATGGTACACTTTCTTCTGCTCACATAAATACATTCCTACCATGAATGAACCAGTTATGTTCGCACCGCCCAGGTCAAAGATGGTTTTTTTCCCACCTTAACCTAAATGCACGGTCCACCTCTTCCACAAAAAAAATGCTGCAACGTTGATCTTATGATCAATGTTTATAACTACTTTTTTGCAGTGAAGCCTATAGAGCATTGCATCTGTGATCAGTACATCACGGGTGCAATGCAGTTTCTTGAGGTGTTTACCCCAGCCCCAGGTCCATACGGAGGTATGGACCGGGAGGTATGGACCTTTTGTTATGGGGCTGGTGGAAATGTGGTTGGACTACAATTGGGTGATGATACTGCACTGCTGCTGCAGCTGTGTTGAGTTCCTCTGCTGTGGTGGCGTAGTAGTGTTAGTA